CGCGGCGGGATCCCCGCTCACCCCTGGCACGGAGGTCCCACCGAAGCGGTGTGGGGGGGTCCCTGTCCCCGTGGCCCCCCTGGGGGGAAGGGGTGTCCCAGTGAGCCCACGAAGTGTGTGTGGGGGTGTCCCCTGGTCTGGTCACCCTGGGGGTCCCCTGTCCTGGCTACCCTGGGGATGGGGTGTCCCTTGTGAGCCCAGGAAGGGAGCTGTCCCCTGCCCCAGTCACCCCAGGGATGGGGGATCTCCTGCCCTAGTTACTACCTCTGGGGGTGGGGGGGTCCCCTGCCCCGACCACCCTGGGGATGGGGGATCCCCTGTCCTGGTTACCCCTGAGGATGGGGTGCCCCTACTCCAGTCACCCTGGGGATGGGGATGTCCCCACCCTGCTCGCCTCAGGAACGGTCACCCTGGAGAAAGGGGGGATCCCCTGACCATGTCACCCCGGCACTGGGGGATCCCCTGCCAGGGGGCTGCTGGCCAGGGGCCCACGGGTGGCTGGGGTCCAGCTCCCTGCCCTGCCATCCTCCCCCCAGCACAGCCCCCCCGCAGCCTGCCTGTCCCTGTGGCCTTGCGTGCCGCCTGCCCTCGTCCCACCCGTGGCCGGGAGCCCTGTGCCGCTCGCCCCGGTTGGCCTCCCCGGTCCTGGCCCCGCTGGGTTTTTGGCAGCCCTCCCTCGTCCCAGCAGCAGGCTGTTTGTTTCCTTTTCTTGCCAGCTTTCTTCCCCGCCTGCTTCGCGTGTCGGTCGCTCAGCCACTGAGGTCTGGGCCACCCTCAATCCCGCAGGGACCCCTGGCAGTTTCACACCTTAAACTTGCCCTCACTAACTGCTCCAACCCCTTTCAACGCTGAAACCCTCAGCAAAGATTTTTTGCTTCTTTTTCTTTCCTTTTCAGCTGCTGAACCCCGCGGGTATTTTTCCACAGCCGGCTCTTCTGTAACGCTACTCATGGGAAGAGCAGGAGAAACAAGATGTGCTTCCCAGCATCCCGCCCAGCTGCCGCCTGGCAGCTTTGGGACTTCCTGAGAAAGGGTTTGCATCCGGACGGAAGTACCTTAATAGCCCTAATGGATCTACCTCCACCAACAGCCCTCATCCCTCTCTAACCCATTTACATACTTGGCCTCTCCGGCATCCTGTGGTAATGAACTCAGTGATTTCATGCCCTCTTCTGTCTCCAAGGCAGGTCTAGAATAGCACCGCTCTTGTCGGTTCACTGACTGCTTGGCGAAGAAATCAGTTGGATCCTCTGTAGCTGTGTGGCTTGCCTTCTCCATCCAGATCTAGAAAGGTAAAGTCCGGAGCTATGCGTGAAGTCCCACTGGTGTCCGCTTGCCGGCTGTGCTGCAGAGCTCATGCTCCATGTCCCGGCTCAGAGCTCCACAAAGGGCCCACGTCCAGGTTCCTCGCTCCCACTCTTGGACAGCTGACAAAAATGTCACCCGTCCCCAAAGAGCAATTCTTGTTTCCTCCTTGCGAAGGTAGGGAAAAAAACCCTGTGAAGGAGGAGTTGAGGAAAAATGAGCTTGGGAAAGCGATGTCACCCCAGCTCTGCAGGTGCCAGACATTGCCCATGCGACTGCTGCCACCCTGGCACCGGGGCAGAGCTGTGGGACAGTGGGGGCCCTTGAACCACCCAGCACTCCTGAGGAAATACAGACCTGGGGCTGCCTAAATTTGGTGCTGGAGCACAGAACTGTGGCAGCTCAGGGGTATTCCCAGGCTAAAATTCAACAGCAGCCTTTGAACAAGAGGTGTTGAGTTGTTCCCTGTACTGATCAGACTCCTCTGGCTTTAAGCTCTGGTGGCCGAGAAGAATTAAACCCAAGTGAGAGCCCTTATTTCTAACATTCATCGTTTTCTGCGGAAACTCTGCGAAGTTCAAATATGAAGACATGGCCAGAGAAGTCACAAGGGCCGGGCGGTGTTTTAAACCCATGTAAATCACAACTGTATCTGGGAGGCAGCATGGACAAAAGCGCTTCCCAAGTTTCGGCTGTCGGCCGGCGCAGTGGCTTCACCCCGGGCCAGGGACGCCGACCCAGGACCGGTCGGAGCTGTGGCACCCGCCTGCCAGGGCCGGCAGCTACAGCCGAACCCAGGCTTGGAGGCAAATGGCAGTGCCGGCCGGCTTTCCTGCTGTGCTCGCGCGTGTGCCGAGCTTTGAGTTAGTAAAGGAGCAACCGCAAGGTTGTGGATATTCAGCTGGGTGCCTGCGTGGGTGGAAGACGTCTGGATGCTCAGTTCCCTTACGGATACAGGTTAGGATCAGGGATTGCCACAGCCTGGGACCGAGCTCTTGTATTCAGCATCTCTCTCATCGCCCTGCATGGAGCAGTGAGGAGGGCTAGCCAGGCTTTTGTTGCTGTTGTGGGGGCAGTTTTGCCAAAACCCGATGATTTTCTGGTGCTGGAATGTTCTAGTTCAGCTGTCTGGGGCTCTGCAGACTTTCATGGCATCGGGGCAGGGCCCAGCACGGCTGTCCCCGGCCCTGGGCCTCGCACTGGCTGGGGAAACCAGCCCTGACCCTCCCAAGACCACCTGTCTAAACAAAAAGCTCCAGGACCTGATGAGTTTTCAATTAATCAGAAACATTAAAAAGCTTTTTTTGGTCCAGAAGAGGGTCTCAAAAAACGGCTTTCCCTGAGAATCCAAATGCTTTGCCAGCCCCAACTGGGACTGCGCATGTGATCATACCTCAGTTTCCCCATCAGGGCAGTTGGAAAGGGAGTACGTGTGTGTGCGTGCATGTGTTGTGACGTGCACCAGCGTGGCAGGGTGCTTCTCTGCAGCGTGCTGGGGAACAGAGCCCCAGGAGCTGGAAGTGGCTGCAGACTGACAGAGCAGGCTGCGTCCATGTCGCTCCGCACTCAGCGCAGAAACTGAATGGTGTCAGCACACGAGAAAACACGCAAAGCTTGCCCAGGCTTTCAGCTGGCTGCGAGCAAGCTTCGCTGTCATCCTGCCTCATTCAGGTGCCCCTTGGATGGAGACAGTCTGAGAAACGCTGCTGGAGATGCTGGTGGGAAAGGGCTGCAGCCCTGTGTGCTGCAGCACGAGCCGCCCTGCTTGCTGCAGCTCTGGACAACTCTGTTTACTCCCTGGGCAGTGGGATCCCAAACCCCTGGGGACCCTGGTCCCCTTCATGGGCAGCAGGCTCCCAAAGCTGTGAGCATCTCGGTCCTCTCTAGGGCAGGAGCTCTTGAAGCCCTGGGTGTCCTGGGCTGGCTGGTGGTGGCCCATGGCTGGGAGAAACTGTGCCTGCTCAGGGTGCACCTGGAAAAGCAGCCGGTGGGGTGTGTTCCAGCCGTTTCCTGGCTGCCTGAGTTCATCTCCGCTTGCTCCAGCTCCACCGTGCCTATCTGAGCCGAGCTCCCGCTCCGTCAACCCCTCCATGGCCCCGTGAGCGGGCTGGCCAGGCTGGGCATGGCGTGGGACACACGGGCCAAGGCTGGCCAGGACTTTGCCTGGCACGGTCCCTGTATGAAAGCGGCGTGAACGCCTCCGCACCACATAAATAAACCAGCCCAGCATGCTTCCCTCCCGGCAGGCTCGGCTGTGCCTGCCCAGCCCGGCCGCAGCAGGATGTCCTTGTTTTCTGCCCGCGCGTTTGGGAGCGGGCAGGAAGCTCGTTTCCTCTCGTTGCCTCTCTGCTCGGATCCTTCCTCCCCGGGATGCTGCAGCAAAACAAAGGACCCAAGAGTGGAGCAGGAGCAGCTTCCCCAGCTCTCCAGCCATGAGCGGGCCAGTAGGACCTGGGGAAGGATTCTCAAGGGGCTGCCGGACGCTTGCACTGGGCTCAGACCCGGCCGGGCTGGTGAGGAATGGGCTGACAGCGGAGGCTGAAGCCATTGGGGGAAGCCATACCCCAACAGCAGGACAG